TTTATTAAATGCCTACCTGCGGTCAGCCGCAGCTCATGTACTATTTTATATCGCATAATTACAAATGGTGTTTTAAATTTACATTTTTGTAATAAAAAAATAATTATTAATAAATTAATTAAAGTAAAAGCGTCAATTTTGGAAATTTTTATTATATTATTTTATTTTTGACTTGAACGTATATAATTTTTTTCATTATAAAGTGTTAGGGATAGGGCCCTAAAATTAACCCTAAAAATAAAAAATGCACTTATTTACGCTTGACGCTTGATACTAACTCTATATATACATACTTGTATTTTGAACCTTAACCGTCCAGTAGATTCGGACACAATAAAAAGTGACAAATTGCCTCGCGCGCGATCATACGTGTAAATAAGCGTTTAATTTTAATATCGTACAAACAACTCACCCTCGTTTCGCTCGGGTCTATACCTAGGTACGTTTTAATAGTATGGAATAGATAGACTATATATGTATATATATATATATATATATATATATATATATATATATACTAGCGACTCACCCTCGCTCCGCTCGGGTTCGTCCCTGGGGTGGGGTCTGGGAGGACCACCCTTATTCTTATCACTTAGGGGTATGAAAAATAGATAGTAGCCGATTCTCAGACCTACTGAATACGCATATAAAATTTGGTATATACGCATATAAAATATCTATGTACTATTTTTTATACTAAAACTACCCCTGACACACCCCCAACAAAACAAAATTAGACTTATTCAAATCGGTCCAGCACTTTTTGAGTTTTAGCGTGACTAACGAACGGCAATAGATTTTTATATACATATAATAATTGATAGTAATAAATATATGTATTAAAGAAGTAACACCCAAAAAGTAGTAGTGTAGTTTTTTATTCGATAATATATTTACTTTGAGGATTGCTTTCGATAATGTATTCATCAAAAGAGTTTCTCAGTTATATGGAAAATAGATAAGGGTCAATGGACATCTTATCTTTCCCTTATACATAGGTACGTGGAAAAACTTGGAATAATATGGATATACCTACTTAGATAACTTATGTAATATGTAGGATATATCATATTACATATGAGTTTACAATTATTTGAGAGTACAAATAATTGAAAAGGTATCTATTTACGGTGAATTTGTATAGTAAAGAACATATTTAAGACTAGCATTGTTCGCGGCTTCGCCCGGTTTCAGATGACCAAAAACCAAATTCTTAAGTTTTACATACTCTTACAATGTAGTTTTTGTATTTTTTCTCAGAAATTAGATATTTTCTCTGCGGTAAAAAGTATCCTATATGTTGACCCGGATAACCAGCTATCATCATACCAAATTTCATCAGAGTCTATACAGTGGTTTTCTCGTGATGCGGTAACAGATAGACAGACAGACAGACAGACAGACAAAAATTCTAAAAACTATAGATTCGGACTCTGTATCGATAATAATGTCTATTTCAATCAGATTTTCCAAAAAATATTTAATGTACAGATTCGACTTAGTTACAATTTTATTATATGTATAGAAGAGCTCTGTTAAATTATTATCCTTACAATTCAAGTAAAACTTAATTAAATCCGTAAATTCAGTTCATCCAGTCAGACGCTATCATGTAATATAAAGAAGTAAATTTTGCTAACTGTAAATTTTCATTAAATTTATTCTTTAACTAGCAACTCGCCCTCGTTTCGTTCGGGTTCGTCCATAGGTGATTCTTTAAATTGACATAACTTTTTTATTTATGAACTGATTTATATAAAATAAACTAAATGTTAAGTGAAGCTTACCACAATACATTAGTGAAAACCGCACCCAAATCGGTTAAGCCGTTTCTGAGATTAGCGCGTACAAACGCACAGACAAACAGACAAAAATATCTAAAAATCATTGTTTTTGGTTCTATTGCGTTAATAAAGACCCCCAATAATAGTTTTTCTCAAATATCTTCCATGTACAGACAGCGATCAGTTACACTTTTATTATATGTACGTACATACATATATATATAAGATATAGACTAACGATTTTTTTTAGTTTCGCTCGGCTCCATTCCTAGGTTCCTAACTGTAGCCTACGCGTTACTCCAGATCGTAGTCTATTCGTGTTCTCCAACCAAATTCGTTCAGGCATTTAATCGTGAAGGTGTAACAAACATACAAACTTTCAAATATAATTAATAATAATGGCTCAATAAAATTGATAATTCATATTGCGGCTACAGCCTCTGCACTTCTCTTAATCCAGCCCCATATAGCAAATCGGTTTAAAAGTTAACTTACACGTGTTTAGAGAACTCGCAGTGATCTTATCCTAAGGAATTTTTGGGAAATTAGAAGCAAAACTAATCGTAAATTTCATGAATAATAAATATGAATAATTAAAGAAATAGTCTGGTGTAAGCCATTCAGTTTAATTAAAAGGCTTAATGGCTTTTAGAGAACGATAAATACTGCTGACGCTCTAAGACTACAGACTCTCTTCTCTTTTTAATTTTCATACAAGATTTTTCCGTTTTGTGTCAAAATTGATGAGTAACAAACTGTTTGTATATAATACTTTCTTAGTAATACTTTCTTATATTTCATATTGAATTATAAATGTGATGAAATAAAATTATAAAAATGATTAAAATTAAAAAAAAAATATTGTAAGATACTTTAGTGCCATTACTTCAATTTTTTGAATTCATTTTGTTATTTGTGGGTAGGCTGTCTGTAACAACTATATAATACCTTTGTGAAATCGAACACCTTAGTCTCTCCCGTGACCATGATTGCTGTAAAGCATTCGAAACGTCGGAAACCAAAAATCCAAATAAATCCGCGAAAAAATCGGAAACGATAGTTTTATTTAAAATGTTTGTATATATTGCACATACTATATAACAGGCAAAAGTATCAGATTCTTATTAGTATTAATTGAAAATTTTAAAGGTCGACCAAATCCAAAGTATCCTTGATTGACGACACGTTTGGTTCAGTTTGTAGTGACCCTACTTGCTGTGCCAACGGTCGGTTCGAGTCCCGCTGTGGGCATCCGTTTGTGTGATGAGCACGAATGTTTGTACTCCAGTCATGGGTGGTCTATATTTATAATATTTACGTATTTAGAAGTTATATATGTGTAGTGTATCAACTATCTGGTATCCATAACACAAGCCTCGTAGCTTATCCTGGAACTAGATGGTGCTGTGTGTTACACTAGATGACTAGGCAACTGAGACAGCACAGTAATAAATATCTATACAGATTGTATTCCATTTAATAAAATAAATGCGGGATCCTTGTTGATGTTGATTATTATTTACAGTTTTGAAAATTTATCCTCGTATCTTCTATTAACGTAAAGATCAAAAGTTTGAATATATTATATTATTGCAACCAAAGTTTTCCCAGCTAAAGTTTCCTGCAGGACTATCGCGTATTAATAAAATATTAACACCCATGTTTAATATAACAATATGTTATATAAAATATGTAATGTAGTTTTTTCTATAGATAGGTAAGAATTATAAAAAATCAGTCAAGTGCGAATCGAAATCGCACATGAAGGGTTCCGTACCATTGTACATGTAGTTTTTATAAAAATAACTTTTACTCTATGTACCTATATAGTATATTAACTTCGACGATCGATTACAATGTTAAAAAAATGTTTTTTATAATTTTATTTTTATTTTTTTTATTATTTGTTGTTATAGCGGCAATAGAAATACCTACATAGTCTGTGAAAATTTCAACTCTACCTATAATGGTTTATTTCATGAAAAACAGCCCTCTAACAGCGGAACAGCGGAGGCTCAATAATAGGGTTCCGTTGGAACCCTTCTTCGGGTACGGAACCCAACAAACGAGATTATAAAAATTTCATAATAAGACGTCCTGAACTAAAACATTGAATATTTTAATAAGAACATTAGAAAAGTAAATTCTCGCATATTTCTACGTTGATTAATCATATCAATAAGATAACGAAATAAACAAGATTTCGAACATTTCGTCCAAAAATATCTTTAACTTATTATATTTTATTAATTTAACTCTGAAATTTCATTAAAACGTGGCAATTTTACAAATATTTCTTTCAACCCAATCAGCGTGTTGATTAAGAAGATCAATTATGGAAACGGCGGAAAACTTTCATTAAATACATTCTGCTTGTTGTATAATTAAAAAAGAAAACAGATAAATTATTTTGATTTTCCATTTTGATACTGGAAACAAAATAATACTGGGAACAAAATAACTTTTTAATTGACTATCTTATACTTAATATTAATAAGATAAAGTTTATAAGTTTGTTTGTAGGAAGTAATGTTTGGAACCGACTTAGATGAAATTTGGTTAGAAGATAGTTTGAAACCCCGGGAAGGAGATAGGACAGTTTCTATCCCGGAAATCATCCCTTAAGGGGGTGAAAATGGGGATGAAATTTCGTATGGCGAATCAATCTAGGGACGAACCCGATCAAAATGAGGGCCAGTCAGTCGGAAGTAAGTCATCCTGTAAAATATACATGTATGTTCTATTCTTATGCATACATACCAACATTGCATAGGTATTAGTTATTAGTATTTTACATATACAAGCACACATGATTAGTAGAGATCTTTTAACTAAATATGAAAAAAAGTTTTCAAACTTGACATTCCGCTTAATTTTTTCTGGCAAACTATCCAAATTAGTGTACCAGAAAACTGTCAAATTCAAATATTTTTCTCGAATTAAAATCAATCTTTATACTGATTGATTGACGACACGTTTGGCTTAGTTTGTAGGACCCTACTTGCTGTGCCAGCGGTCGCGGGTTCAAATTCCGCTGGAGGCATTCATTTGTGTGATGAGCTACTCCAGTCACAGGAGCTTATATTTATAATTTTTATGTATTTAAAGTTTATTTACAGTTATTATTATTAACAAAGTTTTATGCTGCGATAATATTTCTAAATAATACTTCATGATAAATAGAGCATATAGCTATACTAAAAAGCTCAAACTTACGTCTGAATCCGCGCCTTTGTCTGCGCCAGGACATGTGAAAGTGACGTACTCGTGACACCTTTTGTGCACCACGAAGCTGCATACTAAAAGATAAAGATAGAAATAAAAAGATAAAGATAGAAGCTTTAAAATTTAACAATTTGCATGAAAACGTTTAAATATAATAATAATAAATATATTTCATACATTGATATTATTATTAGCATATGAAAAATTAATTTAAAGAAAAATTTTGTTTCTCGTCGCGCTTTTGGTATGAGTGAGAGGTAGTCGGCGCCATCTTCTTGTGATTGATTACATTATGAATTGGTCATATTGATCAAATTATAGAATAACACTGAAAATTGCATCTATTAATTAACTAACCTTTTAATTTAATTAGATTTTTTTTATTTTTAATTATAATAACAGAAAAAATCGTGTATTAATTTATTTTTCTATTATTATTATTATATTGTACATAAATATTACGTTTTCAAGAAAATCCTTACCTTGACACTGGAACCCTTGTTTCCCGAAGCCCCTGAAACAAAATAAATTATAATTTAATATATTTAATGTGTCAACGGGGAACATAGCAAGCAATATTGCTTCTAGACAAGTATAATATTTTTTCTTCAACACTTTCTTTTATTCGTAAATTTGAATATAGCGACCTTTCTGTAAAAGTCTCAAAGTACACAAATATTTACTAACATACATCATGAGTGGCTGAGGCTATTTTAGACTAAAAATCTCAAATGTTTGAATGTGTCCTTTACCTTTTTGAAGTCAGTTAATAAAGTTATAAGTATTAGAGTAACATCTCTAAGATCACTGCAACAAGAAACTTGATAATCCCTATTGGAATAAATCTTGTATCCTATTCGAGAACATCAACGGTTATCTAAAAACGTAGTGGCTTCTTTGCATTCGAAATGGAAATTTTTCGGTCCTTTCAAACCCCTTAATGTAATGAAAAAGTTTTCAATAGTAGCGTATTCAAACAAGACTAACGGTAATCTGTGAGAACAACATTTCTAAAATAAAAATGGCCGAACACTCTGCCTGTATATAAGAACTAGCATTGCCTGCGGCTCCGCCCGCGTTCAGCTGACCAAAAACCAAATTCTTAGGTTTTACATATCAGTATACTCTTATATTGCAGTTTTTGTATTTTTTTCTCAGAAATGAGACATTTTACCGCGGTAAAAAGTATCCTATATCTTTGATAAGATTAGAATTTATTGTTTTAAGAGTTTTTTTTCTTATAATATTATATTTAATAATAATTAATTATTATTAATATGTATATATTAATGGTTTTTTTAGTATTTTCTGTTTGTGAAGGTGCTTTAGGTTTATCTATTTTAGTTTCTATAATTCGAACTCATGGAAATGACCCTATATATATGACCCGGATAACCAGCTATCACCATACCAAATTTCATCAAAATCCCTCCAGTGGTTTTTCTGTGATGCGGTAACAGACAGACAGACAAAATTCTAAAAACTATAGATTCGGCCTCTGTATAATGTTTATTTCAATAAGATTTTCCAAAAAATATTTTATGTACAGATTCCGTTTAGTTACAATTTTATTATATGTAAAATGTAATTTTGCGTTTTAAATATTTAATTTCATTTTTTAATTATATTGATATGCTTAGGTTAATCTTAGAATAATAAATGAATACCCATTTTAAATTTTTGTCTAAATTTTGAGACTGCGATTTTGAAAAATTAAAAACTTTGTCGCTTACCTTTTTGAGCGCTAGTACTTAAAAAGACAGTTATTAACTGTGTGTGATAAAAATGCGTCTCGTTATATATATATATATATATATATATATATATATATGTGTTATATATAATTGTGTTATATATATATATATATATATATATATATATATATATATATATATATATATAATTGTATTTTTATGTTGTTTACTCTACAGAAATTTAATCCGTACCTTCTTTGAGCTCCTTTGTTTGCTTTGTCATAATTATGAATGCTACTAAAATATGAATTGCACAAAGACATTGATAAGTACGTCCTTTAAAATTAAACAGTAATTAATATTTTAATTAATATTAAGTAATTAATTAATATATAATAAACACATTGATTAAAAAGTTGTTCTAGTAAAAAATCTCATATGGTTCTTAGAGAGACTCCACGTGACTATAATTTTCAGTACACGATGCGATGGTTATCTTGAATATTGCATTAATAAAGCTAATGCAATCACCCATTATATTACGCTATAATATAAAATGCAGCCTGAAATGCCATTACGGATATTGTAGGACGGCCGTAAGCTAGGGTTGTCGATGGACTTTAATTTATACTATTACTAGCGGCTCACTCTTGCTTCGCTTGAGTTCGCATCTAGAAAAACAAAAACAAATCTATCCTACAGGAACCATATACTTTTCCGGGATATATACCGATGACGACACGTTTGGCTCAGTTGGTAGTGACCCTACTTGCTGTTCCAGCGGTCGCGGGTTCGAGTCCCGCTGGGAGCATTCATTTGTGTAATGAGCACGAATGCTTGTACTCCAGTCATGGGTAATATTTATAATATGTATGTATTTAAAGTTATATATGTGTAGTGTATCAATTATCTGGTATCCATAGCACAAGCCTAGTATTAATGTCCCAACATTTATTTATTTATTATTTATTTATTTATGTGCTATTCCAGACTAAAATTCTATCTCTGTGACAAATTTCATCCAGATCCGTTCAGCCGTTCTGGCGTGATTGAGTAACAAACATCCATCCAAACGTCTAAACTTTCACATTTATAATATTAGTAAGAAGTACGATTAATAAATATTTTTGGTTTGATTGCTTGTTTTTTTGTTTGTTTGTAGAAGATGTAATGAAGGCTACTTAAATCTAAGTTTTCGCCCGCTTCGCTTATGTGTTTATGATATCATACAAATAATAAATTTAGCCCCTGTAGTTTAATATGTATAAAGATAGCTTTATGTTATAGCCTATGCTATCTAATCACAAATTTTATCAAAATTCAGTTCAATCTTGTAAATGCGTGTGAAATCTGTAGTACCTTTTACATTTATTCTACGAGCGCTTATCATATAAATATTTCTTCACACACACAAAAAATGTTAGCTTATTTGATTTTTGCTAATCTTTTAAGTCAAATTTAGGGTCGCTCATGTCAGTGCTAACGGGTTGACGTACTCATATTTATTCTACTGCTGGGAAATCTTTTATAAAAGCGCGTCCCTTCATCATTTATGTAAATATTTTATCTTTTAAAGCCATTTTCATGTTACATTCATAAGAAATTACATATTTAAATAATATTTTGATAATCTCGGTCCCATTCAACTGGTGACCATTCTGTTCAAGCTTAAACTACAGCTTGCGCGTTTTTTAGCGGCTTCTCACCATATACTTTATAAATATTCGACAGGAATCATTTGATGAATAAGGCAAGTAACCTATTACTCAACTGATTGTAAAAAAGTGGTTTATTTGGCCATCCTGGACGCAGCAGCCAAGTCATCGTTGATTTTAGAACGAAAAAGATTTTATAATAGTTGAATGCGTATAAAAAAAAAATCATGTCTGTACTGTTGACCATTGAGGAGTTGCTTCGTTTGGAGACAATCTTAGATGGAGAATCCGGTCGTAATTATCGTAAAAATTCATTGTCTTTGGAACTGAATCAATATGTCAAATATCAACTCTGTGGGACTTATCCCAGGAAGTGGTTCTAATTCAGTTTGCAATATTTGAGTCATACAAAGTTACAAACATACCAACTAACAAACATTGCAAGTTAAATAAAAGCTTTTAAAAAGGAACAAAATCATCAAACACTGTTCCAAAGCTCATCGAGTCTAATGGGCTAAAAAGATATTGAAATGTGTATTTTTCACGTTACGAAGACATAGATTGAATGATATGATATCGTTACCGTTCCGGAGGTAATTGAATTGCTTATTAGGAAATTTAATAAAATCCATAGACTGGATACGAGTGTCTTATAAAACGTTATAGAATTTTTCTTTATAGATCTTAATCAAATGTTCATTTTCATCTTTAGATTTTTTTTAAAGGTATATAAAATAAGTTGGCATGGACCATTTTTTAGAATATAAATGAGTAAAGTGGGAGTTGGAGCCACGACTGGAGGGTTCCGTACAAAACCCTATCTAGAACCTACCTATTGTTTAATGTATACTAACAGAATAGAAACATCATATCGGAGATAGATAAAGTAATCTTCATATGGAAATCCTGGTGTGAGTCAGATTTTTACTTAGTATTTATTGCGATAAAAAAATACCCACTAATACATTTAGGTACTCTTTCGTGACAAAGTTGATACGCTGTAATACTTTCTTAGATTTACGCGAATATTTGACATTTCAAATAAAACTATCTTTTCGGTTTTTTTCGCGGATCTATTTTGATTTTTTGTTCCCGACGTTTCGAATACTTTAGAGCAATCATGATCACGGGAGAAAGTCTCTGTAAAACATTCGAATCGTCGGGAGCCAAAAATCAAAATAAATTCTCAAAATAACACGAAAATACATATAATAAACACATATAATAGATAATAATAAATACGTCGGGACATTAACACACAGCACCATCTAGTTCCATGATAAGCTACGAGGCTCGTGTTATGGATACCAGATAGTTGATACACTACACATATATAACTTTAAATACAAACATATTATTATAAATATAAGCACCCATGACTGGAGTATAAACCTTCGTCATCACACAAATGAGTACCCCTAGCATGACTCGAACCCGCGACCGCTGGCACAGAAAGTAGGGTCACTACAAACTGAGCCAAACGTGTCGTCATCGTCATCAAAGTATAGTTTTATTTAAAATGTCAAATATTCGCGTAAATCTAAGAAAGTATTATGTGAAGCTTATTACTTTCATCAATGAGTAAAATCATCGTCCGTTGTATTATTCGGTGTCGCATAGGTATAGAATTGTCGCTTGCACTGATGTAATTACCACAATTATACCGGCTATTCCATCGTGCCTACGTAACTAGAATGTTTGAGCTCATATTCAAGTCAAACTTCGATTCGCTTTCATGCTATATGAAGTTTCTAAACCACAGCTTGGTGATTAGGGGCTTTGAAAGATCGTGAATTTCCGATATTAACTCGTGGACGTCAGCGTTACGTTAAATTGCAGCTACTAAAACGAAAATTGTCGCTAGTTAAAAATATGTTTTTTTAATTCCCATGAAAATAAATAAATAAGTGGGTCACTAAATATAAATTAAATACATAATAAAAATAATTAAATAACGGACGTTTAGTTTATATAGACACTTTGCCTGCATTATTCCTCTTATTTCATATTATATTGTTCTCAGTGTTACGATCAGACGACACGGATCCACATGTTGCGTCTATAAACGTACAATCTAACACAATGTATACACGATATGGAGATGTCACAGCGTAGTTGCGAACGTGACATCAAAATTCAAAGTGCTGAGATTATTCTATTCACACAGTAATCATGCTCAAGGTGTTTTGCATCTTTTATCTGATTTTAAAGGCAGAAAACTCTTGGTTTGATATACATTAACTTATACAGATATTATGAGCTCATATTATCTATACATATAATAAAATTGTAACTGAGCCGAATCTGTACATTAAATATTTTTTGGAAAATCTTACTGAAATAAACTTTATTGTCGATACAGAGGCCGAATCTATAGTTTTTAGATTTTTTTCTGTCTGTCTGTTACCGCATCACAAAAAAACCACTGGAGGGATTTTGATGAAATTTGGTATAGTGATAGCTGGTCATCCGGGTCAACATATAGGATACTTTTTATCGCGGGAAAATATCTCATTTTTGAGAAAAAATACCAAAACTGCAATGTATGTATACTAATATGTAAAACCTAAGAATTTGGTTTTTGGTCATCTGAACGCGGGCGGAGCCGCGGGCAATGCTAGTTGCAATATTTTTTTTTTATTTCTTTAATTTGGGCACATAAGTGCGATTTTAGATCCATTTTGCATTGATTTTTACCCTAATAGCTAGCAAAAAAAATATTTTATTAGCTATACAAATATTTTAAATAAGTCTGAGTTATACATTAATGTATAACATAAATTTATTTAAACCGTGTGGGTGTACTTGTATCCTGCGGGAACCGCTTAATGAAACAAGATGAAACCTACGCCTAACTTATTTATACGCAATGTAACCTCTTTTTTTTTTAAATTAGATACACCTATATTGACTTCCAAATCACTTAAAAAATAATCATGCAGCTCATAGAAGTCAGTTTTATTAAAAAAAATTTCTGGTTATTAATTGGTTCCAAAAAAAGAAAAAAGCACCCGAAAGTAGTTCTCGAGCATCTCTTTCTTTTGAAGTTGGTCAGAAATAGATCTGCGCTTGCTTGAAAAGACAAAAGGACAAATCAACACACATTTTCGCATACATATACAACTTTAGTAACCGGACTTCTGTAATATATGGGTAAGTTTCTATGTGTATGTTTGTTACTCCTTCACGTCAAAACTGCAGGACGGATTTGGATGACATTTCTCAACAGATATACTATGACGTGAAGTAGCATATATAAGCTACTACTATTATTAGATACTTAAAAGGACACTCTAAGTGCCTTACAGCCCGAACGAAGCGGAGGTAAGACGCTAATCTATACTATAATATTATAAAGCGGTAAAGTTTGTGAGTTTGTGACGTTGTAGGGGGTAATCTCTGGATCTACTGAACCGATTTAGATGAAATTTGGTAAGAAGATAAGTTGAGACCCTAAGAACAACATAGAGTAAATTTTGTCCCGGAAATCATCCCTTAAGGGGGTGAAAATGGGGATGAAAGTTAGTATTGGAAACCAAGCCAGGGACAAACCCGAGCGAGGCGAGGGCGAGTCGATAGTGATTAATAATATTGCATAATCTATACTTTATCTAATTCTTTATGGTACTTAAATTCTCAAGGTTTCTATTTCACGTCAAGTAAGCTAT